GATTCAAGGATTTAAGAGGAGCCTCCCAGATTTGGCGGCCGGTAGCATTCGAAAAGGAAAGTGATTGCCGCATCCCCTCCTCTATCATCTCGACCTCTCTTTTCTCTCCGGATTTTACTTTCCTTTCCTCCTTCGATTTAATTAAGCTTGAGCTGAAACCCTCGCTGCAGCTCCTTCAATCTGTCTCCTACGAGCCAAGCCTCTTGCCCTTCTCAATTTCTTCCATACTTCAAGAAGACGACAAGAAGGTCGCCGCAAAGTTGTTCCACATCCACTGAACTCTGCCGAAGATTGGCCCAACTATGACTCTTTTTGTCCATTGGAACCTGGAGAATCTCCTAGCGGCGACATCCATTACTGGAATTAGGTGAGTCAACAACTTGGATTTAGCTCCCCTGACTTTTTGTTCATGGATTTACTTTCTGTTCATTTACCGCAAATAGCTAATGTTCAAACCCAATTTGTTCATAGATATGATTTACTGATTCCTTTCATTTCTAATAATTAAATTGACAATGCTTTTGACAACACTATTGCTTTTCACCCTTTGGCTGAATGAACACAAGTATATAGATCAGTGAATAGAGCCCAGTGATTTGAGATTGAACCCAATTTATTCATGGATTTGATATGAGACTAATTGTGGAGGGTGTCAAGAGCCCAGTGAAAGATCCCTATACATTGAGTTAACCTATTCGACTTCCAATCAAACCAAGCTATGAAAATTCTTATTAAGATTGGCTTTATAGATCAAATTCTCATATATCTTCTTATGATGATAGAGTTCTAGGGAAATGGTAAACCCCCAACTTTTTTAGTTTGATAGTGATACATGCTAGGGAATTGAATCCAAGTGTTCTCATTTTCTTAGTTTGAGTTATGTTGATATTGAGATTTGTGCATCTGCAGAGAAGAGGTTTCTAGAGCTAGGGAAGTTATCGATCTCATGAGATTAACAAAGTCAATTGCTTTTGATGAGATTAGCACCATTGCAACAGTACTTTTTCACAAACACTTCTGAGGTTTTTAACGGTTGGTATCGATTTATCATTTTTATGCAGAATAAGAAAAGCAGATGATAACTTAGGTGTTTCTTTTTTGGTCTTTTGGACCTTAGGCTCATTTTGTTCTTCTTTGCTCCTCCAGTCCAGGCTCCAGGTAATGGCTACCTGTTGTTTTTTCTTCTTCATCTGCTTTAGTTTGCTGCTTTACCCTACATGCCCTCGACTTCTCTTGATTTTGGAAGACCTATGGCATCTTGGGGTACAATGGAATTGAATCATAGTGGGTTTCAGATTAGCGTTGGTTTAAAATTTAATGTGTTGCCACCAATCTTGATATGTATGTCTCTTTTGTTTTTGTTGATTCTTGCTTTCAACATTGCTTTTTGCACTGAACATGAAAAGCATGCTGGAGATTTATATCAGAACGTGGAACGCATGTATGTCAGCTCTACTTCACACTGATAGCTCGAATGTGGTTTGTTGTTGGTTCCCTCTAACTGGCCAATCCAATTAGTCGACGTACTTAATTTCTTGCTATCAGATATGGGTCCATTGTTTTAATTGATTACTGTACCAGTTTTATCTTTGACATGGATTGTTCAAGGATCCAATTCTGAAGTAGATTGACGTCACCTTTGTAAATGACCCCATTATTCCAAAGAACATCACCTTAGTTAGTTCCATTCAGTTTACATAATTGTCTTTTTCAGCTTTGTACGTGACTGATCAATATCGTTTTTAATTATTTACTTTATGTAACATGCTGATTTGTTGTTCTTATGCATATCATTCTTACAGTTTCCGAAGGTATTTTGCTGTCTTATATACAAATTCTCATCCAAAACATCATTCACAGTCCTGAGCTGCAATGTTGTTTCAAAGACATATCCCTTCACGAGATAAGCGAACACCTCTGACAGATCATGTTTAATTGGACACTGATGGATACTATTTAGTTGTAGATTTCTCAATTGATAATGTAGAAATTTTCAAGCAATTCTCTTCTTTTAGCATCTACAGTTCGTGATCTGCTTTGGGTCAAACATTGGGTTCTTAATGATATGAAGCCAACTGATTAGGCGGGAAAGCAGCAACATGAAAGCTGAAACTGATCCATGTGAGAGTCAAAACTTTGTATTGTCTTCTGCATAAATAATTGTTAAGAATGAATGTATCTATTCATGCATGCATTTTCTTCGTTAGTTTTGTAATTCTAATTACTATTTTTGTTTTTTCACGATGTGTTGCACTGGCTTACTATTTTCGTTTGGCTCTTATATGTGTACTCTACGCTTTGGCTTGGATTGATGTTTGCAAGTTCTCATCTTCCGATGCAGGGATCAAGTTTTATCTTAGCTTCAGAGTTTTTATGATCTTAAACTAATTTTCTTTTCATTCTACTTTTCATCTTTAAATAAATATAATCTCCCCGATCTGGTAGTGCAAGTCATGAATTATAATGAAATGGTGATTAACATTTTTTTTTTACAGTAGACTGTGATTAACCTTTGGGTAGATGGTCTCCCTTCCTAAACATTGAAAGGCAAGCATTAGTGGAGGCTTTCTCTATAAACATCCGTGGTGAAGCACGGGCTTCTAATCTAGTCAAATTATAAAGGGTAAATACAATTTAATATCCAAACCTTTCATTTTAAATAATATAATAGTTAAACCTTTTCGAAAACAATCTAATATCCAAATCGTCAACTTTCCGTTAGTTTGACCGTTAGTTGACACTTCAAAAAAGCTTTGTTCAGGGGAAATTGTCACAATACAACTTTGTTTTCTTGTTTTGGCATTGCAGGTGACTGAATATTTAGATATTCTATACCATCATGGTGGAGTCATAGACTTCTCGGGTTTGGAACTACGATATGTTGGTGGTTTTTCAGAGAAGATATCGATGGATATTGATGAAGTGTCGTACTTCGATCTTTTTTGAAGTGTCAACTAATGGTCAAATAGAAAAAAAGTTGACGATTTGGATATTAGATTGTTTTCGAAAAGGTTTGGCTATTATATTGTTTAAAATAAAAGGTTTGGGTATTAAATTGTATTTACCCAATTATAAAAGGTATAACTTTCCAATGTGATTGACAAGTAGCAGGACATGTTTAATTCATCGCGATAGGAGTTAACCATAAGAATCAGTCATTCAACGTGTCATAAACCAGTTCGTCCCAATAACTCGAGTTATTGGGAAAAGGTTATGTTGGATCTTATACATGCCCATGTATGGTACTTAACGACTTCCTTACAAGCCCCCTCAAACGAAAGCCGACTCATGGGTTTGAAGTTTGCACAGGCCCGCCATACCATGTGCTTGAAAGACAACAGTTAATATTGGGGGTCGTGAGGACTTGAACACGTTACCTCAAGGACAAACCAGCTCTGATACCATGTCATAACCAATTGGTCTGATACCATGTCCTAACCAATTGATCCCAATAACTCGAGTTGTTGGGACCAACTGCTTTATAACATGGTATCAGAGCTGGTTTTATAAATCAGCACCCATAAGATGTCTGGCGGAACTGGCTGTGACGATGGCGCTATGGTCAATGCTAGCGGCGGTAGTGGAGGCGAAAAACCGATCCCTCCGGCGATCCCCGCAGCTCTGAGGATGCAATCATCGGATAACCCTGGTCGGCTATTTGTGGGAGAGGTGTTGAACGACGCCAACTATGGAGAATAAGTCATTGATATGACCGAAACCCTAATCGCCAAGAATAAACTTGGAATTGTGAATGACAACCTAGTCAAACCTGAAGCTACGGGTGAAATTCGAGAAGCATGGCTACAGTGCGATGCGCTTGTCAAAGGATGGCTGAAGACAGCCATGGATAAGGAGATCAGGAGCTCGATTCATTATGCCAAGACAGCTCAGGAGATTTGGCTGGATCTAGAGTCTCGATTCGGAACTGGGACAGCAGCACGCGCATATGAACTTCGGCAGGAAGTGACTGCACTCCGGCAGGAGAAGCTTAGTGTGTCCACTTTTTATACCAAGCTTCGTGCGCTTTGGGAAAAATGCAAACGATCACTCCGAATCCGTGTTGCACGTGCAGGCTGTGCACCTGCGATGTTGGGGAAAAGGTTGTGACTAACCTGGAAAGTGAACGTCTTTTTGATTTCTTAATGGGCCTAGGCGATGCCTTTTCAACGGTTAAGATGCAAGTACTATCCATGAAGCCTACCCCTACCATTGCTGAAGCGTACCGTCTTGCGACCACTGAAGAGCAGCACAAGCAACTTGCCGCAAACAGGAGACCCCAGGTGGATGCCGCGGCATTTCAGGGACGCCATGAGCGAGATCAGGACAATGTTGATGCTGGCAGGAACAATGAACGGGGCCGTGGAGAACGCAAGAAACCCGGCACCGCCGGTTGCAAGTTATTTCCTATTTTTCGTTTATTTTTTCCCTTTTTAATCAATAGTTTAAAGTGATTAGGATATATTTTAATGGTTCAGATTTATTCAAATTAACTAACTTAAAATTATACCCAAGTTACCGTAGGGAATCCCGATGAGTGAATATAAGAAGCTTTCATTTGGAGTCTCGTCCTTTTTACAATTTACAATTTTCTTGTGTCAAAGTATTATCATCGGTATAATAAAACTAGTAATTCCAGTGAGCATTGATATAAGAATGAGCACTTCTACTATACTTTAAAGTATTGGTGCTTTAAAGTACAACTCGAAGTTGTACCTTAACGTTAAAGGTACAAGTTAGAGTTGTACCATAAGAGAATTTGACTTTTATTTTGTGATACAACTTCAACTCTTTAAGTTGTACCATAACTTAAAAGTAGAACTTTAGTTGTACCATAAAGGGATTTTACAAAAGATTATAGATACAATATAAAGTTGTACCATAACGGTACAATTTCAAGTTGTACCATAAAGAAAAAAAACTAAAACACCAATATTTTAAAGCATTGTAAAATTTTTCTATAAGAATATGTACCTCAAAGCTCAAATCCAGACAAAATTGTTTTTCTCAAACTATATTCATTAGAGACACATGTATATGTGTATTCCTAAGATTCTGGAAGTCGAGCAAAAAAGATAGAAAGAGTAGATGGTGACCAGTAATACATAGGAAATGTGTAGTTACATAAATTCCTTTGGCCGTAAAAAAGAACTAGTAACATCAATATCCCACTAGAAAATTAAAGGGTTTCAATGCAGAAACTGTACCGAAGGGAGCAGCCATAGAAGATAATAGACTTTCACAGGCTTGCCGGTGACTATGCGCAGCAGCCAGCAGGAGCTGCTTACATAATATACATACTTTCTGGTGCCAAGAATATCGACAGTCTTATGTACATAGAAAAGGGAAGAAGAATTGAGATCAAAATGCCTAACGTTTTATCTACAAAACGTGGCTTCTAAGGACGTGATCAAGGCAGCCACCGTCATCGAAATTGAGAGCGTAGCTACGGATGTCATAACTGAACTGTGAAGTAGTGCTGCTGCTCTTCTGCCACCCGATTGCTCGCTTCCACTGCGACCTCAGCTTGTAAACCCATCGCTTAGGGACATAAGACCTATTACTCCTGCAGCTACCCAATGTAACTTTTGCCTTCTTGTCAACAATGGATACCATGGCAGCAGCTGATGTGGAGCTCGGAATCCTCTTCCCCAACCTCAAGAACTGGCTTCTTCTCATGCTTTGTGCATTCAGGAACTTCATGGCAAAACTATGCTGCAATTTGAGGAATCAAATGAATGAAACACAGATAAGAGATAGACAAAGAAAGGGAGGGTTGTTATATGGAGCTAGAAGTTGTAACTTTCTTATTGGTACCAACAACTATGAAATGATGAGTCTTAAATAGATCTCCAAACATCACTAGAGGCAGGGGCCAAAATTACAGAACATGGGTTACTTTCTCAAGTGTCAACCTTTGCTTTGCCCACTAGCTACTTTTACAGTCAAATCAAATTGGCCCCAACGTTTGGTGACAAAAAGAGGGGATTTCAGACGTCGGCCGGCCTTAGTGAAGTTGTGTGGTGTCAAAAGAGGTCAGTGATGACTGGGAAACTTTTTCACTGGGGCCAAAACAACATGCTAAGCAAAAGGGAGGAAAGTAATTAGTGTCTATCCTCTTGTGTCATCTCCCATGCGCATTGCTTAAAGTTTGAAAGGCAAAAGTTCAGGAAAAGGTTGGATTAGGTTTTGTCATCCATCGTCTTGACCAAAAATAATGAAAGATCTGTTATCCTACGGGGGCCACAATATCCAAACATTGCATTGGCAAAGTGCTTTCGAGAATGTTCATATGCATAAGGTTTACATATATGGAAGTGCTACCGACTAGGTTTTTGGCGGCAAATAAAACTCGTATAGGTGAAGTTCGGATCTCCTACAATAACTTGGGTATATTTTCAAGTTAGCTAATTAACTTGTGGGAAATTCTAGGGTGCCGGTACGACACAGGTAACGTCACTAAATCTGGCTGATTCAAACCATAACGGTTTGTTTTGAATTTCTTGGACCAGATTCGATTAAGAGTAAATAAATAAACCCTAAACATAATTCCTCTTTCCTGCTTCTTTCTTCTATTTCTCTTTCCTCTTTGAGAAAGCTGGCGCTTCTGTGCATCCATATCACCGCCAGTATCACTGCCAGCGGCGGATCTAGTGCTGGATCAACTCGAGCCACGGCCCAGCCTTCTTCCAGATCCAGAGCTAGTATAGATCTTATAAAATTTTCGATTTTAGATATTCGGCCCAGTGCTATTTAAAAATCGGCTTAGTGTTATTTGATAATAGAATTTTTTGTAACTAGAATAATGATCTAGATGAACATATCCAAATCACTACAATAAATTTAGCCGTAGAAAATCTAGCCCGAATGATTTTCATTTGAAAAAAACAATAACATTTAAAAGTCTATAATGTAAAAGACTAAGTATAAAGTTTCATTGAAATAAAAAAAAATCCCTATAGACTAAAGTTCACCCTGTCAAAACTCAAAAAAATTCTCCAATCCCCCCCCAAAACAAAAACAAGAACGAGAGACAACCGGATCTGAAATGGATTCCTCCGCCAGTTTGCCGGGCACTAGTTTTCTTTTCCAAATTGGCATTTGTAATGAATGAAAATTAATAAATTATAGTTATTACATATATTTTTTGTTTACAGCATCCAATATTCCATTCAAATGCAGCCCAGTGCTATACTATATCCTGGATCCGCTGCTCTCTGCTGATCACCGTCGTTGTCGTTGGCCGGCCGCCATCACCACCAAGATCCTGAATTAGTTCCCTACAGTAATAAATTCATAATTTTGCCTAATAATGCACAGTACACAACTACACATTGATCGTCATCAGGACCGGCCAAGAGGGTGTGCTGGCCCGCCCTCCGGCACAGGGCCTCAGAATATTAGGGGACTCTACTTAGATTCGTTAGTTACCGATCGTATATTGTAGGTTGTATTTTTAGTGTATGATTGATTGATTATGAGTATGATGATGTGTTTAATAGATAATTTTAGCTATAATAACAATTGAAAAGGATCTCATGGAAAATACGAAAATCTGAAAAATAATAGATAATTTTAATTTCAACAATACATAAAGATATTACATTTTGAATAATGTTATTATAATCATTTTAGTTTTATTATAGTTAAAGGTCAATTTGGACCACGTCTAGATTTTGAAATAGGGCCTCCACGATCTAGTAGACAACCCTGCACCCACCTCTCGATCAATTTAGACTATTTTCATTTCTCCATTCAGTTTTTGCGCTATATCCATTTTCTCTTCCTTCCAGATTTACTTTCCTCCCTACTAGGGCTGGGAATTTGGTCTTGGTTTCTTGGTCAAACTGGAAACGATATCGTTTATTCCTGATGTAATCTTTTTCTGAACTTAAGTATTTTTTTACAATTATTTACTAATTTTTAATTTTGATAAATGTATGGAAAAAAATTAGGGCCACATTTTAAATTTTCGAACAGGGCCTCCAAATATCATGGGATGACCCTGATCGTCATTATACTTCCTCATATTTCCTTTCCATTCTTGTAATTTTAAGAGCAAGGTAAACTCGTGGACAATATATGTTAGTGTTGTGGTATATGATCAACGATTGAACCTCTCCCAACAACTCGAGTTATTGCGACCAACTGGTTCTTGACATGGTATCAGAGCCTTCTGTGACCGAGAGGTCTTGTGTTCGATTCCCGGGACCCCTATTTGTGATGTACATGGTATTCTTGTCTTCAGACCTGTGCAAACTTCAAGCCCTTGTGAGTGGTTTTCGTTTGAGGGGGCGTGTTAGTGTTGTGGTATATGATCAACGATTGAACCTCTCCCAACAACTCAAGTTATTGGAACCAACTGGTTCTTGACAATATAAATATATGTATTGTACAGAGACCATATACTGAAAGCAAACATTTTAAGAACAAACCAATTCTTACAGATCCTGGCCACCATCAATCCAAATCACTACCAGCATCATTGTCGCCGGACAATCACCATCATCATCCCTGCCGCGGCGCGGCGCGGGATCCGCCATCGCACCCACTAGAAACTCCAAGGGCGACGGGGATGATTATATCAAGATACATCCAGATCGTAGGAGAAATGGAACAAAGTTGAATTGATATTGGTTTCAAATCCCAAGGAAACCGTCCAAAACTCGATAGGCGGCCGTTTGCCGGTGATCGGTGTTGGCCTGTCCCGGAGATCCGTGGAAGAAGATGGTAAACTGTTCGAGGATCTTTTTGTTTTGAGAAGAAAAAAATCATAACGAAAAATAATAGTAATAACGAACTTGGGTTAGAAAAGGAGTAAACCAAAGGTACTTGATTCAACCTATTCGGGTTAAGTGGTGGGTCTGAATCAAAGGTCATGATTTAAATGTGGTCTATCGCACGGCTAATATAATGGCGGCACTGGTGCAGTGGCGGTACCATAGTTGTTGCCTTAACTTGTATAGATCTAAACGATTAAAATTGATTAAATTAATTTTAAACCATTGATTAAAGAAATAAAAATTAAAAAAATAAGTGAAAATTTTAGTGGCAACAGGGGTTGCCGGTCATCACCCTTGCATTTACCTTTCTTGTTTTTTTTTTCTTTCCTTTTACATATTTAGCTGTTCTTCCTTATTTTACATTTTCCTTATTTTAATTTTTATTGAATTAGAAGTGTTACGTAAAGTTCTAGTAAAGACTTAGGGGACAGGTTACTATGACAACACCCATTGTGTTGTTATTGTAACAACACTAGTCCCCAACCAATAGGAAGATAGGGTTGTGATGATTTTTTATTAGATGAGTTGACCTAGTGTAAAATCAAAGCAGAGGTATAATTGTCATTATGAAAAATATGTTTAAATAATAATAAAAAATAAAAAATAAATTTTTTATTTTCTACCCAAAAATTTTGGTCGCCGGAATTCAGCCGCCGGTCACCGGAATATGCTATTTTGTCATCGGAATATGCCACCGTCGCCAGAATATGCTCACCGTGGTCGGAATATGCTTACCGGTGTCGGAATCTAGTCATCGGGGCCGGAATATGCCTGTCGGCGCCGGAATCTGCTCACTTACGGTCATCGGAGTTTGGTCAAAGGTCTTCGTTGACCGGTCAACGGTCAATGATCACCGAAGGTTATGGTTAGAATTGTGAGATTTATGGTTTGGTTTCTCATATTTTTTAATGCCTTTTGTGGTTTGCTTTATCGTGTTTGTGGTTTGCATTGAGAAGTTTCTGGTTTGCTTTCAAAAACTTTGTGGTTTGCATTGTGAGGGTTCTGGTTTGTTTTAGGGTTAATATTTTCGTATGGCCTGAACTTTGACCAAAATAAACATCCTGGCCAATCTTTACGATCTATAACATCGTGGCCCGAACTATACACCAAAATAAACAATTTGGCCAAACTCGATGTTTGACCGTTAACTTGGACGGTCAAACGCGTTGACTAACAGTCAACGCGCAATGTCACTGCCAAGTCAGAAGATCTGATAAATATTTAATTTTTTTCGTTTTTTATTTTTGCTTTAACTAAGGTATTAGATGATTTTTTTTAATTTATAATAATTTAAAATTAGGGAATGTGTGGAAATTCTGAATTATTTTAAATATTTTATGCTGACTTGGCAATGACATGGCGCGTTGACTAACGGTCAACGCATTTAGCCGTCCAAGTTAACGGTCAAAAGTCGGATCTGGCCAAATTGTTTATTTTGGAGTATAGTTCGGGCCAGGATGTTATAGATCGAAAAGATTGGCTAAGATGTTTATTTTGGTCAAAGTTCAGGCCATACGAAAATATTAACCCTTTGTTTTAATATATTTGTGGTTTGCATTAGGACGTTTATGGTTTGCTTTTTTGTGGTTTGATTTACTGTGTTTGTGGTTTGCATTAGGAGGTTTCTGGTGTGCTTTCGCAAATGTTGTGGTTTGCATTGTGGGGTTTCTAGTTTGTTTTAGGAGATTTGTGGTATGCATTAGGATTTTTCTGGTTTGCATTAAGAAGTTTTTGGTGTGCTTTCGAAACTTTTGTGGTTTGCTTTGCGAGGTTTCTGGTTTGTTTTAATATAATTGTGGTCTGCATTAGGACGTTTTTGGTTTGCTTTACCGTGTTTGTGTTTTGCTTTACCGTGTTTGTGGTTTGCATTAGGGGGTTTCTGGTGTGCTTTTCAAAATATTTATGGTTTGCTTTGTAGAGTTTCTGATATGTTTTAACGAATTTATGGTTTGCATTACGAGGTTTACTGTATGCTTTTTGTGGGTTGTTTTATTGCGTGTTTGGTTTGCACTAGAGGGTTTTTGGTGTTATAATATTTTTGATTAGAATTACTAAACACCAATATAAATTACCTAGCTTCTTGTTGTTGGTGATTAGGTTAGACTAAAAAACGAATGTCAGAAACTTCTAAGGCACACTGTTCCTATTTTGCGCGCCATGTTCTTCTTCTTCTCCAAATGTCGAGGGACTCAGTTTCGAAATGCTCCCATCAAAACGCGACATATGAAATGGAATTCTGCA